AAACACATCTACAGGCAACTTAAAACAAACGGTGATGGTGAGCATCATAAACGGCCTCCCATGGATGCCAATGAAAGGTTCTGGAAACAGTTGTGGTCTGTACCCGGCGACTGTAACCTGGAGGCACCATGGGTCCGTGATTATGACCATGCAATGCATGAGAAAGAAACTAGGTCGTTTGTCTGTTACATTTCACCAGATTGCCTGAAAAGTGTCATCAAAAAGTCTAAATCTAATACAGCTCCAGGGCCTGATGGCATTCGAAACCGGTACTGGAAACTGTTCCCCCTGTGTCCAAACACCATTACTTCACTGTTTCAATTCTCTTGTGGACACAGGTGATGTTCCTCCATGGTTCTGCAAAGGTCGCACAATACTCCTTCCCCAAAAAGGAGACTTGACTGATCCCAAAAACTTCCACCCTATCACATGTTTGAATACTCAGTATAAAATCTTCACAGGGTGTTTAACAAGTCTCGAGTCATCTTACTGCTCTTCCAGTGATATAATTTACAGAGAGCAGAAGGGGGCGAGAAAAGGATGTTGAGGGTGCAAGGATCAACTTCTTGCACAAAAAATGATTTTGGAAGAAGCTAAAACATATCACCGCAACCTCTCCATGTAAAGATGACACAACTTTATGGATGATCAACTTCTTTATTTTAACAATAGCGACGTTTCGGTATAGGTTCTTATACCGTTTTCAAGCATATGGGGGAATGATGGGGTACACCAGTTTATATACAAGATAGGATAATGCGATAACAATAACCTTGGTGGGGAAACAATGCATCAAAGAAAGCTATATGATGAGCTACAATGACATGATATGAGCTGAGGATAACAAAATGAGATGAGTGGGATTACCATGAGAATTAGTGAATGTAAATCAATTAGGCAGAAGCCAAGGTGGTGTGGGGAGGTAATTAGTGAGAAGCCAGTGGTGAGGAATGTGAGTATGAAGGTTGATGAGAAGCCAGAGTGGGTTGGAGTATTCCTTTGGAGTAGGTGATTGGATAAACCAAGAAATCCAGAGTCTTGACCGTCTGACCAGAAGGATCATGTCTGATAACAGAGCCCACCACCCTGGCTCCTCTCACAATCGTTTATACATGCCAATCAATTCTGGAGGTCGGGGTTTGATTAATGTGGAGGCTCTTCATGATAGAATTTTATTGTGTACTTTTGCACATATTTATTTATCGGATGATCCTCTGGTGATGCATGTGAAGACTCATGATGAAAACAAGGAATTCCACAACTATTTTGAGCGTGCCAAGGTTTTTAATAGAATCTGAAATTTCAGGTTGAGTTTGTTGATGGCGATGTACTGCTGGACGGTACAGCGATGGGAGTAAACCAGGTGAATTCCTTCACCAAGTCTGCCATGAGTCGGTCTTTTGTGGAGAAGCTTTCTGAGAAGCCATTGCATCGTGTGTACATGCAGTGTGTGGAACAGAATAGCAATCCCACCGACTCCTTCGCCTGGATGAAGTCGGCTGATCTTAAATGTGAAACTGAGGGCTTTCTTTTTGCTGCTCAGGACCAGTCACTTCCCACTCGCAATCGCCTAAATGTGATTCTTAAAGAAAATATTAACATGAAATGTCGACTGTGTAATGAATTTACAGAGACTGTCCAACACCTTGTCAGTGGATGTCCTTCTTTGGCACAAACAGCATATCTTAAACGACATGATGGCATGGCTCGTTGCTTTTACTACCGTCTCCGCCATGCCTGGGGCTTTGACTCCGAGGTCCATCCATGGTACATCCTGAACATGTCCAGGGCGTCATGGAAAATGATGCTTTCAATCTTCTGTGGAATAGGCCCATATACAGCTTCAGAAGAATTCCAGCTAATCTTGTCCTTCTTGATAAAGCCATTGAATTTATTTATATCATTGAATTTTCTGTCCCTTTTTCAGGAAAAGCATGATAAATATGCGGACCTCGCCTTTGAAATGTCTCGCTTGCATCCCAAGTACACTGTCGTCAGGCTCCCCATTGTTCTCGGTGCCCTTGGTTTGGTACCTCCTGATCTCTTGGCGCAGATCAGGAGAGTGCCCGGGTTCTCCACCGGGAGCACAGCCCTTCTGACACTCTGGGTAATGCAGAAGGCTGCAGTGTTGGGGAGTCTACATATTCTCCGGAAAGTTCTTGATGGGTTCGACTAGGCAGTGTTTCCTGGGAGAAGTCCCATTCGTTGTCTGGGCTGCGTGTAGAGGGGGCGAGGGCCCTGAGCTGATGATGAGCCTTACCAGCCTGACTGTGCCAGGATCACCCGAACCCTCTCTGCTGCATTTTCATCTTTAATCTGTAAAACATAATACTAATGTTATATGAATTGAATGGTCTTCAGCGACCCATGATGTCACAAGAATCATAACGGGATCGGGAGTTATGGATCGATGAGGATCGCTGACTTGGTTGACACTTGTCGTATCCAAACTGCGTAGATCGATGCTGAGGATATTCATCACTGGATTGTCTGGTCCAGACTCGATTATTAACATACAAGTAATCTTTATGAAGCCACTGTGTGATATAGGTGGAAAGTGCTGAAAGCAGCGTAAAACCGTATTCACTGGCTGAGTCATGGTCAATTCAAGAGCTGATTGTCAAGATGTGTATAATCAACCTTGCTGAACTTGTGCATCTCATTGAATTCCTGACGGGTACATCAAGAGCAAGCATATCATCCGCCGTGAATGTCTTTTTGAGGATGACTGCCTTCACAAACGTTTCGTACTGAAAGTATTGCTCAGCACTTGCTGTGATATGGTCGTACAGATGCCAGTGAGAGTGTACACAAACTGTACATTGTATGGGTATGATGTGGATGATGTTGAGAGAGGGGGGATGAAAGACGGGGAAGGGGGATGGCAAACAAGTATACCTTCTGTCGGTGAATGTTATGTGTGCATGCTACACTGATCTGACACTTGGAGACGGGATGGTGGTAAGAGTACTTACAGTAAATACATGCATACAGGCAGACACACACACGCACCTGCACGCACGCACGTAGTTGAACACATACACACACAAACGCACGCGCGCTCACACACACATACAAGCTGGATGGTAGATTTCCTGAACAGAACGTGTACACGTAGTCAACAGATTTAGCTCAACTGCATCAGCATAGACAGGTGCAGACAGGTGCAGACAGGTGCAGACAGGTGCGGGCAAGTGCAAATGCATGTAGACAAATATTATAAGACATTGCAGATGATAGCCAGAGACACAATGTATATTAACACATACATTACTGGCATTCATAGATAGATAGATAGATAGATAGTTAGTTAGTGAGTGAGTGAGTGAGTGAGTGAGTGAGTAGTGAGTGAGTGAGTGAGTGAGTGAGTGAGTGTGAGTATGAGTGAGTGAGTGAGTGAGTGAGTGAGTGAGTGAGTGAGTGAGTGAGTGAGTGAGTGAGTGAGTCTGCTTATAGAAGAAAGGCAATGCAGGTCTTAAGTGAGTATATTTTCTGCTGACAGACCTCGAACCATAATAGAGGCAAACCCGGATTTAAACCCACTATTCTTATATTACTGGAGGAGCCACAGGATGCAACTATGTTACCCTCCTTTAAAAAATTTGACTTTCCTTGTTCTCCGGACCGTCCCCCGCCCCTTCCTCTATATAATTCACAATGACAAGCATGTTATCTTTTCTAGAACTTGAAAGCGAAATTCAAATGAAAGTGTATCTCTCTTAATCTGTCCCCATCGTACAATGCTCACTTACAGCTGGGAGTGACTGGACACAAATACACAATGGGAGTAAACGGACACCTCGGCCATACATGTGAAGGTAATAGCACACAAGCACAGGTGCATCTCAAGTGTGTTGGATGCACAGGAAAAACATTGCAGTTTGCACACTGCCACTCTCGATCACGATTTTAACACACACAAGTTATAAATACATTATTCTTTTTATTGTTCTTAGCGGTGTTTCAGAGCTTGCTCGTCATCGGGTTTATTCATATTCTTCCTCGTTACCCGGTAGTTCTTACCCATAACAGGTGTTATGTTCTTCCAATTTATAAATGCCGAGGTAACACACACATTATGTGCGCAGGAATCGGATAGACGTTACATATAGAGGTACTAAATGTACATGAAACCCACATATATTTCATACACAGGTTACATGCACAGTTAACTCTCGGGTTACATCTACAGGCAGCGATAACTGGTAACACACACACAAACACACGCACACACAGACACAGAGAGGTTACATGAATAGTTAACTCTCGGGTAACATGTATAGGCAGCGATAACAGGTAACGCACACACACACACACACACACACACACACACACACACACAGAGGTTACATGCACAGCTAAATCTCGGGTAAATATCAGCTACAACAGGTAACACACACAGGGAACAGGCACAGGCAGCAAGACGAGGTAACACACAAGTTACATGCACAGGTAAAATATGTAACATGGATAAATAACGCATAGATATGTAACATACACAGGTAACACAGGCGGGTAACATGTATAGACAGAATGTAGAGGTAACAAAATCATACTGGTACGAGTGATACGACAGTATTTCAATATCGTTAAACCCAACTCACTCTGAACGATGAGACTTTGAACTCATGTTGGGTGGGTGTAAACCTGACGGTTCGACTGACAGCTTTCAGAGTAAATATTACAAACGACACCACAATAGTGGGTTTGACGAAACATCAAACCTTTGTTTACAGAATGAAAATAGTTAGGAGACTAGTAAAGCAGGTTCCCAAGGAGTCGCTGACTGCTCTGATGTAAAAACCTCCGTCATGAAACCTTCCCCATACAACATTAACTTACACATCATTCATTCATTGCGAATAATGTTAAAAATAGTTTGTGGGTTTCCAGTTTAATTAATTTGTCACTCGGCCACATTCTGGAATACAAAAAAAACATCTCGTTTGGACAGGTTTTCAGCGCAGTCTGACCAGGATTTTCACCGCATAGACACGGAACAATAACGCTTTGGCTGGGATAGAGAGCGTATTGAAAATGGCCGCCTCTACAAGCAGCGAGCTGTGACCGGACTGGGTGAACTTCTCCCATCTCCCTGTTCACGGAAGAGCTGTTTGTGCTGACAGCGACGGAGTCGGACACTGTAGAGCTCGCTTGGAGGTTACACAGCTGTATCTTATGTGGATGTTGATAACAACGGCATCGGGACCATTCTGAAAGATCCACACTCGTGTCTTCGTGTACGGCCATATTCTTTTTGTACAGGTAAGGAGATAAGTAGTTTAACACGTGTTCAGTGTCCGTGACAGTGGTTGTGCTCGCGGTATATAGTTATGGCTGTGTTATGAAAGTGGTCTGTCTGAGCTATGGCGGGGCTTAATCAGGAGTTCTGGCTTTCGTGTTTTTTGTGAATGTCTGACTCAGAATCTTGCTGAACCTTCTTTCACTATCACTGCAGTGACAGGACTGGAGTTATTCGTTAGGTATTCGGCATTCAAAGATATGAATATCATTTTTCTTTAGAAGTTTCTCTTGATGTGAAGTACGATAGCACGTTATAGTCGTTGATCTGCCTGGCGATATTACATCTGAACTGTAACTCGTACAACGTTACCTTCATTAACCTACCTTATGATAGAACGCCTGGCTTGAATTGTACATTTGTACGTTACCTCCATTACGCTGCCTGGCAATACAACGTCTAAACTGTACACTCGTGCAACGACACTTTCATTAAGCTACCTTACGATACAACATCTGACTTGTCTAATCGTACAACGTTACTGTCATTATTCTACCTTCCGATACAACATCTGATTGTACACTCGTACAACGTTACCCTCATTTAGCTACCTTTCGATACGTCTGAATTGTACATTCGTACAACGATAAGCTCATGAAGCTATCCGATATAACATCTGAATTGTCCAATCGTACAACGTTACCTTCATTAAGCTTCCTTTCGATACAACGTCTGTACACTCGTCCAATCCAGAATGGTGTGAAACAGACAAATGGACAGTCAGCTGTGTGGGGATGCCTAGTCAGTCATGTGATGAAGTTGATGATGCACAAGTTCCTGGAACTTTCCAGAACGCTGGACTAATGTACCTGGACATTGGAACATATGTTAACCTTTTCGCAAGATAAAATGTCAAGCCTTGTGCTGGTAGTATTATTGTCTTAAGGGGACAGAAAGTCACACCTGAAGTCACAGATGAGGTCATAGATGAGGTCACAGATGAGGTCATGTTTTTAATATACTATAGAGTGCAATGTCTATCTTTGTGCATGTAGCATTTTTGTCAGAAGACAGAAGGGATGAAAGATGAGCTCACTGACACGACGAGCTTCTCTGATTATTCTTCCAAATCGGTGTGAAACATGTTACATAAACCTTACTAGACACATTTACACATGTACTTATGTTGGGATTGATGCACACACACACGAGAGTGTATCCTGAACGCAACTGTCCAATATTGTTCAGCCTGTGTCGTGCAATATTGAAGCCATAAATCAATCTTTTATTGACGCATTAAATGAAACTAATTTGAAATCGACCATCTGGTCTATTGATTTTAAGGACGAAGCCGTGCGTGTCTTATTAAGGGAGTTCATTATGTTTTCAGTCCATATGACATTTGACCTTGGTGACCGGAGCATGCCGTGAAAAGAACCAACATGGACTGTCCTCTTAGGCTTTGTAGTGAATGGACATAAATAAACTGGGGAGAGAGGGAGGCAGAGAGACAGAGAGACAGTGAGAGGGCAATAGACAGCTTTGTCAAACTAAATGTGCAAAGGAGTGTTGGAAATAGTGGCCTTTCTCTCTTAGGAAGGGACATTCATACGTCTTTTAAGATGAGACCTTCACATAAACAAATGTCAGATAGTCGATATTTATTTGTTTTTTCTCTCTCTCTCTCTCTCCTGTTTATTTATTAACGAGAGAGAGAGAGAGAGAGAGAGAGAGAGAGAGAAAGAAAGAGGGAAAGAGAGAAAGATTAATTGATGTCCAGAATAGCGAGAGAGAGAGAGAGAGAGAGAGAGAGAGAGAGAGAGAGAGAGAGAAAGAGAGTAGGTGAGAACATAAACTGATGTCCACAAAACGAGAGACAGAGAGACTCAGAAAGGGAGAGAGATTGAGATATATTACTTGATGTCCAGAATAGCGAGGTGTCAGTTTATACAACATATCGCCAAAACTTACAGATTAGAAAGTGGAAATGTAAAAGATTCCTGATAATAACGTATCTGTACCATGACACACACTGAACAATCGAAAAATATATATGTCTGTCAAGGTCAGTATTTTTTAAGGCAACTTCATATTGAAAGTGTTCTGTTATACCAAACAAAGTGGTGTCTATATCTGCTTGTGCTCCCGATTGAACGTTTCCTAGTTCCCAAGGTTTTAGCTTCAGAGAGCGGGAAGTTGTTGTGTCTCAAAGGGTATGTTTAGATACTGACAACTGAGTGTTTGGCCTCTAATAACAGTGTTTATACTATGTATTCAGTGAACCGTTACCGATGTGTTAAATGAAGCGAAACTGTCACCCAGGTCGTGAGATTCCCATAGGCTGGCTTTTGTGAACAAGTGTATACTATTATGGCAACATATGTGTCATAACACGTATGCTAAATCTATATCTAATCTGCCAATATATCTTCCGAATGCTTAATCTATATACACAACTTATTGACGGTTATGTGTCTTCAAGTATACGCCTCGTATGTAGGGTTGGATCAATGTGCACACAACACATGGTTGACGGGCAATAGATTTTTGTGTCTCCGTTATATGAAACCTATTAGAATACATTTCAAATAGTTCTTTTCATTTCACACGTAGATTGGCATATATTTACCATTACCATGTATATATCTCACCCAGTGCCCGGCATCGCATGTATATTGGCATATATTTACCATTACCATTTGTATATTTCACCCAGTGCCAGGCATCGCACGTATATTGGCATACATGCATATTTCATATTGTCACTTATATTTCACATAGTGACATATGCAAGTGTTCATCGCACAGTCATTACATTACTTTTGACATATGTATAATTCACATGGTAGAGTATATTTGACATATGTATATTTCACATGGTAGAGTATATTTAAAATGTGTATATTTCACATGAAAGCATATATTTACGTGTGTATAATTCACATGACATCATATATTTGACGTATGTATAATTCACATGGCATCATATATTTGACGTATGTATAATTCACATGGCAGCATATATTTGACGTATGTATATTTCACATGGTAGACTATAGTTGACATACGTATGTTTCACATGGCAGCATATATGTGACATATGTATATTTCACATGACAGCATATATTTGACGTGTGTATAATTCACATGGCAGCATATATTTGACATATGTATAGTTCACATGGTAGAATATATTTGACGTATGTATAATTCACATGGCATCATATATTTGACATATGTATATTTCACATGACAGCATATATTTGACGTATGTATATTTCACATGGCATCATATATTTGACATATGTATAGTTCACATGGTAGAATATATTTGACGTATGTATGTTTCACATGGCATCATATATTTGACGTATATATAATTCACATGTCATCATATATTTGACGTATGTATAATTCACATGGCAGCATATATTTGAGATATGTATATTTCACATGGCATCATATATATGACATATGTATATTTCACATGGTAGAATATAGTTGACATATGTATATTTCACAGGGTAGAATATATTTGACATTTGTATGTTTCACATGGCAGCATATATTTGACGTATATATAATTCACATGGCAGCATATATTTGACATATGTATATTTCACATGACAGCATATATTTGACGTATGTATATTTCACATGGTAGAATATATTTGACATATGTATGTTTCACATGGCATCATGTATTTGACGTACATGTATATATAATTCACATGGCATCATATATTTGACATATGTATATTTCACATGGCATCATATATTTGACGTATGTATAATTCACATGGCATCATATATTTGACGTGTGTATAATTCACATGGCATATATTTGACGTATGTATGTTTCACATGGCAGCATATGTTTGACGTATGTATATTTCACATGACAGCATATATTTGACGTATGTATAATTCACATGGCAGCATATATTTGACATATGTATATTTCACATGACAGCATATATTTGACGTATGTATATTTCACATGACAGCATATATTTTACATATGTATATTTCACATGGTAGAATATATTTGACATATGTATGTTTCACATGGCAGCATATATTTGACGTATATATAATTCACATGGCATCATATATTTGACGTATATATAATTCACATGGCAGCATATATTTGACGTATGTATGTTTCACATGGCATCATATATTTGACATATGTATATTTCACATGACAGCATATATTTGACGTATGTATAATTCACATGGCATCATATATTTGACGTGTGTATAATTCACATGGCATATATTTGACGTATGTATGTTTCACATGGCAGCATATGTTTGACGTATGTATATTTCACATGACAGCATATATTTGATGTATGGATAATTCACATGGCAGCATATATTTGACGTATGTATAATTCACATGGCATCATATATTTGACGTATGTATGTTTCACATGGCAGCATATATTTGACGTATGTATATTTCACATGGCATATATTTGACATATGTATATTTCACATGGCAGCATATATTTGACGTATGTATATTTCACATGGCATCATATATTTGACGTATGTATATAATTCACATGGCAGCATATATTTGACGTATGTATATTTCACATGGCATCATATATTTGACATATGTATATTTCACATGGCATCATATATTTGACGTATGTTTAATTCACATGGCATCATATATTTGACGTATGTATATTTCACATGACATCATATATTTGACATATGTATATTTCACATGGCAGCATATATTTGACGTATGTATGTTTCACATGACATCATATATTTGACGTATGTATGTTTCACATGACATCATATATTTGACGCATGTATAATTCACATGGCAGCATATATTTGACGTATATATCTTACAAATAGTGGCATATATATCGACATACATTGTATGAATATTGTATATAATAGCATATATAATTGACGTCTATATATTTTACTTTGTAGCACATATTTCTTGCATGTATATTTCCTACACTGGCACATATTTCTTGCATGCATATTT